TTGCTGTATCGGAGCAGGAGATTGCTGTATCGGAGCAGGAGATTGCTATATTGGAGTGAGAGTTTGCTGTATTGGAGCAGGAGATTGCAGTATTCGAGTAGGAGATTGCTATATTGGAGCAGGAGTTTGCTGTATTGGAGTAGGAGATTGCTGTATCGGAGCAGGAGATTGATTGTCAAGGCAACATTTGTGTAAACGATGGAGTGAACGAATACAAAGTTGTCATTATGTTTCTCCCTAAGAAATTAAACACCTGTAACCACAGTGTGCATAAATGCTAAAATTAACCAGAACGCGCAATATTTTAATGTTCAAATTTGAAAATGTTCCTTAGATCTGCTCCAATAACTGTACCTGAATCAGACGCCTCAACCATTCGACAAAAAGGATTCAGTTTAAAGCTTTGAGATAACAAGGTGTAGAGCTGGATGAACACAGCAGGCCAGGCAGCATCAGAGGAGCAGGAAAGCTGACATTTCGGGCCTGGACCCTTCTATAGAAATGGGGAGCAGGAAAGCTGACATTTCGGGCCTGGACCCTTCTTCAGACCATTTCTGAAGAAGGGTCCGAACCCGAAATGTCAGCTTTCCTGCTCCTCTGATGCTGCGTGGCCTGCAGTGTTCATCCAGCTCCACATCTTGTTATCTCAGATTCTCCACCATCGGCAGTTCCTACTATCTCTCAGTTTAAAGCTTTACCAAGCAGGATTAGAGGGTGATAAATATTCAGAGAGAATGCTAACTGTGTGTATTCCAATCCCAGTGGTGGCGAATTCCTTTCGAGAAGGAAATTTGTCATCCTCGTATGGTCTGGCCTACATGTGATCCCAGCCACACAGTAATGTGGTCGACTCTGAAATGTCATCTGGGCTATAAATACAGGCATAAATGCTGGCCTAGCCAGCGATGCCCACAGTCCATGAACCAAAAAAAACTCCACCTGTAAAGATTACACCATCAAGAAAGAGATAAAATTACTCAGCACTGTTAATATCAGTAACATTGTCTTTCAGAATTGGTGACTGAATTGTTTTTGGGTAATCTTTGCTGAAGTTTTATCTAACATTGTCTCCCTTATTGTCCTTCCAGCATTGTGATGACCACATGCTCTACAGTATTGGCGCTTGGCATGGTGCCGCTCCTTCTCTATATCTATTGTAAAGGCCTGTCGCTCGCAAGTAAAGTCCCATACGGAGAGATTTCCATAACCCTGGTCTTCACGCTCATCCCTTGTGGCCTTGGCATCTTCCTCAATGACAAGTACCCAAAGTACTCAAAGATAATAACTAAAGTAAGATACTTGTTCATTTTTTGGCATGACATCTTCTCTGATTTCTGTCAAAAATGTTCAAATGTTAAATGAATCCTAACTCAAATGATGCCTTTCAATGATAACACATATGTATGTGGCAGCTTTCTCACTAGCTAAGTGAATCAGTGTGGTACCCGTTTTTTAACACCAATACATTATCTATAGGGTGCAGCCCAGTTCTCCATAAAGGTCTTATTCAGACTTAACATGGGCTCACCATTTCTGAAGAAGGGTCCCGAACCGAAACGTCAACATTCCTGCTCCTCTGATGCTGCCTGGCCTGCTGTGTTCATCCAGCTCCACACTGTTATCACCATTACGAGGTTAGCTTGTTTTATTAGATACCCCCTGCTCATCCATTATACCAAAGCAATGCATAGCCATTGTTCTCTTTTAAGAACATGCACAATCTCCCATTTACTGGCATTGAACGCCATCTGCCAACTTTTAACCCCTTTCTCCGATTTGACCGTTTTTGTTTGTACTTTGCTGTCATCTCGCAAACAGCTAACTACGTGGCTTTGGAGCAGTGGTAGGGATGATTGGATTACCACAGCATTCATAAACTCCCCTGACTCGGTATTGCTGTTGATTTCTAAGGGGTCCTCCAACACGGCTCTCATAGAAATTAGCTTCATGGGAAATGCCACTGGAGTAGACTAGAATGGGGGGTAGGGATGAAATATGCGGAAAGCCCCTTATTTAGCATTGGTTTAAAGGTCCAATCTGAATGTTAACGTGCCAACAGTGCCGAGGAAAACAATCTCAACATCTCAGCAGGAGAAGTTACACCATTTCATCTGAGTTGCAGTCAAGGGATAACTGTGGCACGACAGAAACTAGAGATGCACTGTAGGTATTTGGGTCTTTGAGAGCTTGTTTCATTGAAAGTACTTTGTTTAATTAATTTTGCATGTTTCTCTTTCAGACAGGCCTGTTTATTCTTCTTATCACAGGACTAATAATTGGCACCTTGTCAGGAATGTCAGTTGGGAGCCATCTCTGGATGCTCTTCTCCCCTCGCCTACTTGCTACCACAGCACTGATGCCTGCTATAGGATATGCTTTCGGATACGTCCTCTCATGTTTATGCAGATTACCAGAAAGGTAATGTGTGCCATTAATTGCAGTTTTGTCTTAGCAGTTGAAATGGTTGTTTTCTTTTTGTCCATTCTTGATACGCTACTGTTTTACATCCACCCAACTGAGGGATAAAAGTTTAATTGCATAGATTTAAATTAGGTACTAGTTACAATGTGAGCGTAGGTCAGAAGCTTTACCACACCTTCAGGTTCAGAATTAGAAAGAAAACACAAATATCTGGTTGTAAAATAGAAGCAACATTTGATAGTGAATGTTTGCCTTCTAGTTGGAGTTGTCAGTAACACAGAGAACTGCCAGTCTATAATATAGGGAACATTCCTGAATCAGAAGAAAGTAGTAACTAATTCTAAAATAAAACACATCTATTCATATTTGTTTCAGATGACCCCTAAACAGAATGCCTTGGATGAAATAATAGAGTTATATATCCATATTTCTGGATAACATTAACATGAAAATACAAATTCAGTGCAAGATTAAGTCATTAGATCGTAAGACCACAAGACAAAGGAGCAGAATTAGGCCATTCAGCCCACTGAGTCTGCTCCATCAGTCGATCATGGCAGATATGTTTCTTAACCCCATTCTCCTGCCTTCTCCCCATAGCACTTGGTTCCCCTTACCATCTATCTCTGTTTTAAAGACACTCAATGACTTGGCCTCCACAGTCTTCTGCAGCAATGATTTCCACAGATTCACCACTGTATGGTTAAAGAAATTCCTCCTAAACTCAGTTCTAAAGGATCGGCTATACCCTTGCATACTAGTCTCTCCTACAAGTGGAAACGTCTCTACATTCACTCTATCCAAGCCCCTCAGTATTCTGTAAGATTCAATCAGATCCCATCTCATCCTTCTAAACTGCATTAAGTACAAACCCAGGGTACTCAATTACTACTCATATGACAAACCCTTCATCCCTGGGATCATTCCTGTGAACCTTCTCTAAACACCCTCCAAAACCAGAACATCCTTCTTTAGAGACAGAGCCCAAAACTACTCACAATATGCTGAATGCATTCTGACCTTATATAGCCTCAGTAGTACATCCCTGCTGTCGTATCTTAGTCCTCAAGCCTGCTCGGCCATTTAGTTGACCAGACCGCGGACTATCCCCTATACCTGACTCCTTCCTCTGCCTTTAAAATATTCAGCGACCCTACCTCCCCTATTCTCTGGTGGGGTGTGTTCCACAGATGCGATAAACCCTGACAGAGAAAAAGGAATCTCCTCACCTTCATCTTAAATGGGAGACATGAATTTTTAAAAGGTGTCCCCTTCCTCTAGTCTCTTCCAGAAGGGAAAACATCCTTTCAGCCTACAGTCTAGTAAATTCATGCCAAGGAGATGTACTGTGTAGATAAGTATAGAAAGTTACAAAAGAACAGAGACAGATAAAGTATGAAGGCAAAACTGGAGCAGATGTTTGTTATTCAGTATGAGGTCATCCACTTGGGATCTAAAAAGGTCAAGTCAGAATATTCTCTTGATGGTAAGAGGCAATGACAAAAGAAAGGGATGTCTATTTTAATTTCTTACTACTGGTGCCACTGGAAAGGCTGGTAATTGCTGCCCATCCCTACTTGAGTGCAGTCAGAGCCAACCACATTGCTGTGGGTCTGGAGTCACACAGAGGCCAGACCAGGTAAGGAGGGCAGATTTCAGCTATTACAACAAACAATGTTGGCTTTGTGAGCAGTGGTGCTGAGATTAGCTTTCATTCCCAGGTTTTATTTTGAATAATTCGTTGAGTTTATTGATTGAATTTCAGCCTCAGCAGCTGCCATCATTGGATTTGAACTCATGTTAGTCAGGCCCAATCTGGAATGGGTAGGCTTCAATGGAAATAAAACCTTGGAGGGCTGTAAAACAGGATGTCAATTCGCCTTAAACCATTTTACAACACAATAGTGCATTCATACGTAGAGACCCACTCTCTGAAAACAAAAGAAATATATTCAAGCCTTGCACCTTTATTGAATTATCAGGGAGCTTGTGGAGCCTATTGTGCATCATTGCCTTCTCCATGGCAACACTTCAGCCAATGAGAGTCAACTTACCAACCAATCAGCACCCTGTTCTCCTGTGGAGAATAGGAAATTGCAGTGCTTGTTTGAAATTTGGCATTCTTGCATTTGATGAGTGAAAGATGAAAAGTTTCAGCAACACATTTCTCTTCATCAATATTCATTTTGGGGAGATGGTGGTGTAGCGGTAATGTCACCGTACTGATAAACCAGAAACCAGAGAGCTGATGCTCTGGGGAAAGGGTTCAAATTCTACTATGGCAGCTGGTGGGTTTAAATTCAGTTATCTAAAATCTAGAATTGAAAGCTAATTTCGGTATTGAAACCATTATCAACTGCCATAAACAAAAAAAAACATCCAATGTCCTTTAGGGTAGGAAATCTGTAATCCTTGCCTGGTCTGGCCTACATGTGGCTCCAGAGCCAAAGCAATGTGATTAACTCTTAAGTGCGTTCTGAAATGGTCTGGTAAACCAGTCAGTTCAAGGGTAATAATGGATGGGCAACAAATCTGGTTTTGTCAGCAACGTTTGATTACCATTAAAGAATAAAAAAACTCCTTCTCATGCTCTGTAAATGGAAGTGTTAATGCAAGGGAACTTGAATAATCATAGAATCAGACAGCACAAGAAGAGGCACTTTAGCCCATCAAGTCTGTACTAACAAATCTACAGTAAATCTACACTAGTCTCACCTTCCAGTACTATACCCATTGCCTTGAATGTTATGACATTTCACGTGTTTATCCAAATTTTTTTTTAATGGTTGATGACAATGTCTTGGACAGTAATTTGTTTTGAATTCAGTCGATACTGCAACATCCCAGCTGCTACGTTGTGTGCTATAATTTCATATTCCAAAAATTTAGCCACAGCCCTATCAGTACAACTTACTTGAACCCCAATCAAAGCCCAGTCAGTTATAGTAGCATATTGAAGACCATCATCACCCAGGAAGCCTCTCCTAACATATTTACTTTCTTTTAACAGGTGCCGGCAGACAGTTTCTATGGAAACCGGATGTCAAAATGTCCAGCTGTGTACTACCATCCTCAAAGTTGCTTTCAATCAGGAAGATATTTCTGCTCTTTACTTATTTCCACTCATTTTCTTGGTGTTCCAACTTCTTGAAGCATTAATTCTTATAGTGATCTATCGAAGTTACGAAAGAATAAAAAAATCGAAGGAACGCAGTGAGTAACCAAATTTCTTCCATAGAATCAGTCAACCAATTCTTTGAAAGGGTCAGCCAATGAATCCATTCCCTGCCTCTTCCCTGCAGTCCTGCATTATTATGTTCCTTTTAGTTGCTTATCCAATTATACAATTGGATCTAATTCCTCCATAGTTTCAGTTAACGCATTTCAGTATCTGATCTGATGTCTGTAGGTTTGAGAGTGAGTTATTGTTTTCGTTCTTTACAACTGCCTTCCTGTTGTTTCAATCTCTTCTGTTCCACCACTATCTGACCAGACTGCAGTCCTTGGGTATTTGAACAGAGAAAGCCACAGGCACAATGAAGGGGAGGGAATGTAACATTACAGTGTCGAAACTTGCAAATCAGAAAAGAGTGTGGGATGAGAAGAACGTAGGATTTGAAAAAGAGAATTCTGTGTGAAAATACCTTTTCAACTCCGCTACCAGCTGCACCTTCAGTAATTGTTGTTCTGATCATGTATGTTCCCGGCTGCTTAGCTCCTGATTTCTCTGCTTACGCTTCACCTCGTCCTGTGTCCTGCAAGACAAGGGGAAGCGCATTAGTGAGTATGGTATAATGTGTCTTGGTTGACTTGCTGTTATGGTCAAATAGCTGGAAGTCTGTGCAAGCTGTGAGATATGGGTGTGAGTCTTGTAGCAGTCCTAATGATGTGTGCTCGGGTTTGAACATTGACTTTGAGCTGTGATTGATCGAGATTGTTGGGAAGAGTCTGAATGAGGCTGGCACAGTGAGCAGCATGTTAGTCAATTGGGGAAGTTATTGGGATATAGCGATTGAAGACGCATTCACTGGCCTTGACAAATCATGTGAGGTCATTGATTTTTTTTGATGGGCGGTCTGGAGGCCAGCAAAAAGAGGATGAAGAAAAGGAGGAATTAAGTCAACACATGAGTATCCAAGGTTTGTGTGTCATTCTGTTAATGAGAGTTAATTCCTGATTCTGTATTCTGGATGCATCTCAGACTCTGCATCAAGAGATTTGTTCTGCTACCATCTCTAGATCAGGAAAACCTTGAGTGATCTGAAATCTTGGGCACTCCTACTCTGCATCATAACCCTGCGCTGTCCCTTAGACAGGATTCAGGAAGCATGAGGTTAGACAGTACAAGAAAGAAGATTATAGGTCTCCTTTTCAGGAAATGCAGTGATAGGAATTTGAGCACTGCATTATTTTGTGGTTATCACAAAACCAACTGTGACCATTTTACTTTGCACTATGAGCTTTGTAGGGGAAAGTTATGGGGAGATGACAAAGGCAGAGGGTGAAAGGTGACCACTGAGTTTCAACAGCAGATACAGGTTACCCCTCCTTTGGTAACGGACAGCTTTTCTGTTGGAGTGGCACAGACACATCCGTTACTGGAAGTAATTATTGGTCACAAGTTAACAAGCAAATCCCATGGCCTACCCATTGTACCACTCCGTACCAAACTCCTCCTCATGTACTTCCTCATCCTGCTGCATTGAAACGATCTGCAATGACAAGATGGGTGAAGCCTACAATTATTAGCGGTTACATCTAATCTGTCCGTCCTGGAAAAACTGAAGTGGAAGCCCAACATGTTAGCTACAGCTGTCACTATAGTGGGGAGAGTTCTGCATTGATTGCTTTGGGCTTGAAGGCATCTCTGTAGATATCCAACAAGGTAACACTTGTCCATGCTGCTCTAAACTAATTCCATCATGCAAGGCAGCAGTGATAACTAGGATATTAAAGGTCAATTCCTGGGATGACAGGACTGATGTATGAAGACAGATTGGATCAGTTAGGCCTATATTCAGTGGAGATTAGAAGAATGAATAGAGTAGAATAGAATAAAATAGTAATTTATCATCACTTGTATTTTTACAAAAAGAGTACAGTGAAAGGTGTTTATGTCGCCATATTCCGGCACCATTTTGATAATAAATTATATATATTATCGAAAAGGAAAAGGAAATCTCATAGAAGTCACAAAAATTCTAACAGAATTAGACAGAGCAAACTCAGGACTGGGGAGTCCAGAACCAGAAGCCACAATCTAAGCATATAGGGTGGGCCATTTAAGACTGAGATAAGGGGAAGTTTCTTCAACCAGAGAGTGGTAAGCCTACGGAATTCTCTGTCACAGAAAGCAGTTGAGTCCAAAACATTGAATATTTTCATGAAGGAGTTAGGTACAGTTCATAGGGCTAAAGGGATCAAAGGTACGGGGAGAAAGCGGAAACGAGGTACTGAGTTGGATGATCAGCCATGGTCATATTGAATGGTGCAGCAGGTCCAAACGGCTGAATGGCCTACTGCAGCTCTGATTTTCGATGTTGCTGTGGTTCTGTGAGAATGCCGTATGATTTTCTCCAACAAGTCTTTAGTGACAGGCTTGAAAGATCTCATCAAACGCCTTTCCTTCTCCTTAAATTTGCCTCTGAAGGCAGGTTTGGTTCAAACAGCTGAGAAGTGCAGAGATTTCCTATTCTTTCCTGTCACCTCTCACTGCTCCTCCACATAGACAGAGGTCTGTCTCTGAATGTTCCTTCTTCAAACTCATTATCTTAGATCCACAGGTGACCAGACTTACAGTGGCTTCATTGGTCAGGTTGAAATTTCAATGTTGTATTTTGCACAGTTTCAAGGCATCCCTTTGTCTTCTATCTTAATACTGGGGGGGAGGGGGCAGGAATAGGAATAGCCCAAAGCAAGAGCAAGATAAAATTGGCAAGCTTGCGATGCTGTCAAAGTGAAAGAAGATTGCAAAATCCTATCGTGCACCATTCTCCAGCTATTTGTCTGATCTTTTTGAATAGACAATAGGAATCATACTAATAAATGGACATTACCTGCTGAGGGTTCACATCAGATCTGGTACGTACTCTCTATAGATTTACAAGCAAAAAGGGTCAGGTCCATGTCTGGAATTAATACAAGTTGGTTTGATGTTGCTGTTCTCTCAACTGTCTTGCTCCTCCCTCTTACGGCCAATAGTCACATGGCAACCAATTTTTGAAGAGAGTAAAAATTGCCAGAGCACTCCAAACATTAGCTGCCAACTTCCCCCTCCTCAAGGCCTACACATGAATAAAGCCTACTTGCACGACATGAGGGAGGACTATCCACTGCCAGAAAATAGCACCTCAGACTAATGGCAATAGGAGAAAACTGCAAGTTAAAATGAAACATGAAAGCTTATTCACAATCCTGAAAGCATCTAATTAGGCAAATACATCAGCAAATCGTTGACATTGTGACAGGGAATGAGCTGCCAGAGGAAGTGGTAGAGGTAGGTGCAATCACAACATTTAAAAGACATTTGGACTGATACATGAATAGGAAAAGTTTAGACGGATATGGGTCAAACACAGGCAAATGGGACTGGTTCAGTTTGGGAAACCTGGTTGGCATGGACAAGTTGGGCTGCAGGGTCTGTTTCCATGCTATGTGACTCAATATGAATTTTTAAAAATTAATTCACATTTCAGATGCCATAATGGCAACATAATTGTATGTACTGAAGTGCTAAACTAGTCCTGAACATATAATCAAATATCTTTACCTCAATAAAATTGCTGAAGTATAACTTCTGTATTTTTTAGGTGTCAAACAATTTACAGAACACAATGGAACAAGGTACACTTCCTGAATTTATGAAAACGTATAACCTCTGGTGACCTTCAAAAAGCAGCAAAATGGAGTCTTCTCTACATGGACAGACAGAAAACAATGAAAAGTTCATAACATAATTACAACTTTTTTCTTGCAAACACTTCATTTTTTTTAGATGGTCCTGGCATCGTATAACAAGCTCTTGATTTCAAACTGACCAATGAACATATTTAGTAAAATAATGAACTAAATCAAAGAATACTGCAGACCTGTGTCGTGTTTGGATACATTTATGTTGTTAAATGACAGTAGTATCCCAAGTTTTTCTATTGGTTAGAGGTCAGGTTGCTCTCCTATCTTTGAAAACTGTTGATTTAAACTCCATTCCAGTGATGAGCAGATAGGAATGGCTGATACTCCAGAGTGGTAAAGTAACACCAGCCTTTCAGGTGTTAAACTGAGACTCTGTCAATTTTTTCATGTTGACATAAATGATCCCTGGACACGATTTGAAGAAGAGTTGGCAGCTATTCTGGTATTTTTGTCCCTCAGGTAGTCTAGACATCATCCGTTGAGAACATTGATCAAAACCACTAGCCAGACATGGCACAAATTAAAAAGTGTAAAGTTCCATCTCAAGGTTATGTACAGCAGAGTGAATGCCATAGAATCAAACTCATAAAGAGTCGCAGAATTTTACAGCAGGGATAGAGACACTTCAACCCATTGTGTCCATGCTGGTCATTAAGCACCCAATTAACCCAACCGTTTTCTAGCACTTGGCCCTCATACTTCATAGAATCCCTACAGTATGGAAACAGGCCATTTGGCCCAACAAGTCCACACTGCCCCTCCAAGGAGCATCCCACCCAGACCCATTCCCCTACCCCTGTATTTCCCATATCTAACCCACCTAACCTAAACACTACAGGCAATTTAGCATAGCCATTCCACCTACCCTGCACATCTTTAGACTGTTGAAGGAAACCAGAGCACCCAAAGGGAACCAACACAGACACGGGGAGAATGTGCAAAGTCCGCACAGACAGTCACCCAAGACTGGAATCGAACCTGGATTCCTGGCACTGTGAGGCAGCAGTGCTAACCACTGAGCCACCGTGTATTCCGACATGTTCCAAGTGTTTCACTGAATAATTCTTAAATGTAATGAGTGTTCCTGCCTCCACAACCCTTTCCGATAGTTCCAGATACTCAACAACAATCTAAGAGCAATAATTTTTCCTTAAGTCTCTTCTTTGCTATCCTAATCTCTTCTTTACATATCCCCCTACATTTTTTATATTCCTTTAGGGCTTCTGCTGTTTTGCATTAAGAGTCCTTTCTTTTTCTTATCCAATTCTGTACATGCTTCTGGATTTGTAATCCCACCCTTTACCTTTACGGGAACATGTTGGCCCTCAGTTCTAACCATTTCGTTTTCATGTAGATTTGTTTTGATGTAGATTTTCCTACAAGTGGCCGCTCCCAGTCCACTTTGGCCACCTCCTGTACTGTCACATTAAAATCGGCCACCACTCAATTCAGAACATTTACTTCTGATCCATTTTTGTTCTTTTCCACAACTACCTGAAATCTTACTAAGTTATGGTCACTATTCACTGAAATGCTCACTTACTGTCACAGCTATCACTTTCCCAGATTTGTTCCTCAAAATTAGGTCCAGCATCACATTCTCTCTTATAAAACCTTCTATGTGTTGCTTTTAAAAGCTCCCTAATTACGTGTTAAGAATTCTGCTCTATCTAAGCCTTTCATAATTTGTCTGTTCCAATTAATATTGGCAAAATTGAAATTCCCTATTGTTATTACCCTAATATTCTTACAATTCCCTGAAATTTACCTTTATATCTGTCTTTCTATCTCTCTCTGACCATTTGCAGGTCATTACGATTGATTGCCACTTTTATGTTTTAAGTTCTGCCTCATTTTAGGAATTTTCTAAGCTATCATCCCTCGTTATTCCAGAAATTGACCCTGATATTGCAACATCATCTCTTCTTTTACATATCTCAGAATATTGAGCTGCTAGTTCTGCCCCTCCCTCAACCAGGTCTCTGTGATGGTAGCATTATCATATCCCCTTGCGTTACTCAATGCCTTCACTCATCTGCCTTACTCGCAAGACTCCTTGCATTAAAATAAATGCCATCCAACTTTGCCATGCTCACTCGTGCCTTAACCTGACAATATACACTCTACCTTACAAACTGATTTCGTTTTTCTCCTACATTTGCCTCCGCAATGCCACCTCCTATTCTTCTACTCCATATTCCTGCCAAATTAGCTTACACCCCCACCAACAACAATGAGTCCCACAAAGATGTTGATCTCATTCCAGATCAGGTACAACCTGTGTGCCTTGTTTGGGTCCTACCTTCACCCAAAAACAAAGTGATTCAGGATAGACAAACAGGAGGCTGGAAGAACACAGCCAGCCAGGTAGCATCATGTTCTTCCAGTCTTCTGTTTGTCTACCTTGGATTCCAGCATCTGCAGTTGTTATTTTGTCTCTAACTATCGTGATTCAGGAGACTAAAGTCCTCCCTCCTGGATCAACTCTTCAATTTCTCTATCCAGCTATTCCTATACTCACTAGCATGTGGCACCTGGAGTCATCAACCCTAGAGATTACAACCCTGCAGGTCCTGCTTTTCAATGCAATAATGGTCATCTGGACCAGCTGGATCATTTAAAAGTCCCTATCTATTACAGGGACTGAGCCTTACATTTAGTTAAAATACTCACCACATTAACTTTCCTTACTTTAAAGTGAAGCAAACAACTTACCCACGACCTATAATCCGCTCTTTGCTTTGTGCTTGCATTGTTTTTGTCAAACTTTATCGAATACTTGGTGGGGTTTGTGTTAGGTTTAGCTGTCTCTGACCAATTCAAACTCTTGCTCTTTCTCTCACTGCTTTATGACCCTTGTTTGTATTTTTAATTTTTTAATGCAGCGGAAGGAAAATAGAAAAACAATGCTTTAGTGGTGCAGCTATTTGTGAACTACTTCAGATATCTTCCGGCGGTTTCCTCACATGATCACTCATATTGTGTAACTCTGACTCCACTAGCAAAAGGGCCAAATGCACATTGCCGCTTCCCAATGCCAATCAAAGCTCTTCGTCAAAAGCAATTCATTACTCTGACTGCCCAAAATGATTCTCCAACTCTTTTTTTCCCTCATCACCAGTTTGTTTTTATGTAACTAAAAGACAAACTGGTGACAAGACAGATTGGTAAGGTGGTAAAGAAGACATTTGAGGTGCTTTCCTTCATGAATTGGGCAAGGTATTGAAATTAAAAGAAGGCACGCAATGCCTCTATGTAAGACACTGCCACATATAAGACATTGGTTAGCACACAGCTAGAATTATAGCTTTAGTTGTGGCATTTCAGGAAGGATATAATTATTGCAGAGAGTGGAGGATATTTAAAAGGCTATTATCAGAGTTTAAAAATTGTGGCTTTGAGGCTAGGGTTGTCTCCATTAGAATAAAGGAGGCTAAGAGGTGACTTAATCAAGGTGTACAAAATGGTGAGGAGCTTGAATGCAGTGGACAGGGAAGACCTACTTCCTCCAGTGGAGAGATCAGTTACCAAGGAGCATGGATTTAAGGTGATCAGTAGAGGAAAATCTTTTTAGGCTAGAGGGTGAATGTCTGGAATTCACTGCCTAGTTTGATGGTTGAGGCAAAAACCCTCAACTTGTGTAAAAGGAGCCTGGATGTGCGGGTGAAACTCGGTAATCTGTAAGGCTACAGGCCAGGAGCTGCAAAATAGGATTAGAGTGGGCAGCCAGTTTTTTTTTAAACAGGTACAAACACAAAGGGCTAAATAGCTTTTCTCTGTTCTGTGCCTTTCTAAGGTTCTATGGTTCTGGGGACAAGTAAATTCTAAAAGGTAGGCAATTTGTTGAATCTGGCATTTCTCAAGATTGACTGCAGCAGGTCTCTGCAGATGAATCTTCAGCTCCTGGAGTTTTCAGGGCCATTCACTCTAAGTATACCTGCTGCTGCCATTGTACATACGGATTGTTACCATACCACACACAATTGTCCGAAAATCCACTTAGTCCACCCTTGCAGGCACCACTCAATGGACAAGTCTCTGGCTCCCTCATGAATTTTCAGTGTGAGTGTGAGATTTCTATTCAAACCTCTGAAACACACAGTAAAGATAGATTTAAAAGTTCTGTCAACAGCTACAATTATTTTGCACCTGTTATGAAGATGTGTTATCTGGAACATTGATTTAAAATATCATTGTAAATAAAAACCGAAAGAACTGTGGATACTGTAAATCAGGAACAAAAACAGAAGTTGCTGGAAAAGCCCAGCAGGTCTGGCAGCATCTGTGAGGGAAAAAAACAGAGTTAACGTTTCAGGTCCGGTGACCCTTCCTCAGAACCATTGTAAATCCTGGAGATTTTGAAAAGGGAAATTAAAGGAGACTGTCTGCTGCACGGAAGAGTGTTGTATTTGCATAAACCAGAAGCTGCTCAGCTAGAATCACGAAGTCTACAATACTTTCAGAGAAAGATCCCATGGTCCAGTTTGTGGGTGCAATGTAGCTATTCGATTTGAAGATAGACAGTCACAGAAATAATGTACCCAGAATAATATACCATTTTTCACCTTTTTTTCTCTGATACCTCTCTCATCAAAGTTTATGAGTTGTAAACACCACTGGAAAATCTTATTATTCCAAATGGAGTATTCCTATATGGAGATTTCAACATCTACGCTACTGTGTTCAGAAAATTGAATTCAGCCAGCCACATCTGCTCAAGATAACACACCAGTGCCAACAGTTCATGTCATGATTGGCTATGGCCACAGATCAACATTTGGGACCATCTGTGAATAATTCTTTCTTTCTGAAGTAGAAAGGGCAGTAGAAAAATGATAACACTGTGGAGCGGACTTTTTTCCCCCAAATTAGATAATGCATGTCTGTGTGTGTGTGTCAGTTTTTGGGGATGGTAATATATATCTGCACAGCTTGTACATTTTATTAATAATTTTCACTTGCATAAGCTTTGTCTGCATTAAAGTAGTTCTTCATTTGTAATTTGAGGAACGTCGTTGACCTGTATCTGAGCTTTATATGGATGTATATAATGTATATGTAAAATTGGTACTATCATTTTAAATCCAAACTTGT